TCTATCATCTATCTATCTATCTATCTATCTATCTATCTATTATCTATCTATCTATCTATCTATCTATCTATCTATCTATCTATCTATCTATCATCACCTATGTCTATTATCTATCGTTTGTATTTATCCTTCTATCCTTCCATCTCTCTATCAAACTGTATCATCTATTTCTCTCTCTCTCTCTCTTTCCACTCTCTCCCTTCCTCTCTCTTTCTTTCTTCCTCTCTCTCTCTTTCCTCTCTCTGACTCCCTTCCTCTCTCTCTCTCTTTCTCTCTCTCTCTCTCCCTCCTTCCCTCTCTCCCTTCCCCCCTCTCTCATTTTAAATTCCAGACTGGGTGTTGTTCGCAAAACTTTGGACAAGTTTCAACTTGACTGGCCTTATTTCAACAGCCTCCAATGTTTTTTGTGGGGAGGGTGGGGGAACCGGATGGAGGGCTGCAAGCGGGGCTGGGGAAAGTAGGAAGGTGGGGGGGGGGCGCCAATTTTCCTCTTTATTTTGTGAAAAAACACAACCAGGGTTCGCAAAACACCCCCACCCCCGAAAGACTCAGGTCAAACCAACTCAAAGCGGGCTTCCCCTCCCAAACTCGCCTCGAAAATCCCCAAAGGGAAAAAGAAAAGTCTAGATTTTCCTCCCGTCGATGAAAACCTGGCATTGCCCCATCTCGGTGCCCGACTGCCCCAACCTGGGTTTTGGGGGGTCGTGTGAGAATCGATTCCAAAGTTTGGACGTAACACAGAACTTTCTCTCTTCGGAGTTTTTCTAAGTCACGGACGGCCCCTTTAAAACAAAAAAGACCCTTCCTCCTTCTCTCCAATTCTTCCTTTTCGACTTTTCTGCGTCTGGATCCGTCCGGTTGTGTGAATTCAACGACGGCTCCGTTGAGTGATTGATGGACTGACAGGCAGACCCGATCCACACACACACAAAAAAATTGCTTTCCCACTTTTTGCAAACTTAAAACCTCTCCGGCTTTCCGAGTGGCGTCTTAAAAACTCTCTGCCCACCTACCCACAATCAATGCCACCATTGTGTGGCACAACCGCCTTGGCGTTCCTTACCCGGCATGATGGGTTGTGTGGCTGGGCACCGGCAGCTGTCCCTGTGCTGGCTTTCCTCTGTCGGATTCGCCTCTGGCCTCTGTTTACGACGGTCTATTTGAGTAAAGGATTCTGTAAACTCCCATCCAAAGTTACGCCCGGCCCCTGAATCACGAGAGCAGGACGGGCTGGCTTTTAAAGGGATAATTCCCTCCTCTTCTCCTTCTTTCTTCCCACCGTCACTCCTCCGGTTGTTTTCGGGGTGTTCGTCTCTCTCTGACTAACATCCCCTGGATCCCACGTGGCGCCATTGCCAAATCGCGCTCCCGGCTTGGCACCGCCGTGCCAGGCCCTGAAACAGGGCAGAGAGGGGAGCCCTGGTCTCCAAGAGGGGACAGTTAAGAGCCAGGCTGAAGAAGCAAATAATAATATTAATAATCATGCACATTTGGGGGGTGTTTTCCGAGGGACGTGGGGATATTTTGGCGGAGATCCAGAGGGTTGGCACATCCCTCGCATTCCCCAAAGCTGCGCCCTCGGTGGCCAGCTGCTGTGGTGACATCCCAACCACAACATTCCTCTCGTTGATCCAGAATTAGCCACAGGCCGCACCTTAAAAGCTGTTGGTTAATCAGTGATGGAGAAGGAGAGGCCTCTTGATTTAAAACTTAAGTTTTCCTTCCTTCGTTCCTGTTTTAATTGGGACGCACTGCATCTCTCTCTGTCTCTCTCATCTATCTATATCTCATCTATCTATATCTATATCTATGTCTGTCTGCCTATCTTTCATCACGTGTGTCTGTTATTTATCATTTGCATCTATTTTTCTATCCTTCCATCTCTCTATCAAGCAGAGATAGATAGAAATAGATAATATGATGATATCTACGTAACTACCTACCTATCTATCTATTCTCATATATGTATTATCTATCTATCTATCATCTCATGTATGTATTATCTATCTATCTATCTTTCTTTCTTTCTTTCTTTCTATCTATCTATCATCACCTGTGTCTATTATTTATCATTTGCATCTGTTTTTCTATCCTTCCATCTCTCTATCAAACAGATAGAAATAGATGATAATATAATATATACCTACCTACCTACCTATCTATTCTCATACATGTATTATCTATCTATCTATCATCTCATGTATTATGTATCTTTCTTTCTTTCTTTTTTTCTATCTATCATCACCTGTGTCTATTATTTATCATTTGCATCTATCTTTCTATCCTTCCATCTCTCTATCAAACCTATTTATCAACTATTTCTACCTCTATGTCTATGTATGTCTCTCTCTCTCTCTCTCTTATTATCTTCCCCTTCTCTCTTAATTATCCCTCGGTCTATCTTTCTATCCCTCCATCTCTCTATCAAACTCTATCACGTATCATCTATAAAATCATCTATGTATCTCTCTCTTTGTCTATGTATCTCTACCTACCTACCTACACATACATACGTACATAATACATACATATCATGTCTGTCTTCTCTCTCTCTCTCCCACTCACTCTCTCCATCCATATCATCCATTTATCTGTCCATGTCTGTCTGTCTGTCTGTCTGTCTGTCTGTCTGTCTACCTACCTACCTACCTACCTACCTACCTACCTACCTACCTATCTATTTATCTATCTATCTATCTATCTATCTATCTATCTATCTATCTATCTATCTATCTATCTATCATCTATCTATCTCTCCATCCATAAGTTCAAGCATAACT